TATAAATGGTTGAAAAGATATTTAAAATAAACAAAGCAATAATGGGAACAATATAATAGAATAGTACAGGGGCGTAGCAGGTTAAAAAAACAAGCGAGGTATTTGAGTCAAAGGAAACATAATATGTTATAATTAGGTTATTTCACAGCAGTCCTAGTCAATTGAAGAAATATGAATTAAATTTTTGTAAAATTTTGAAGAGATAGTCGCCTCTCCTGCCTGGTTACGCCTATAATTGTTTGAAAATCGTTTAAAATCCTTCACAGATAAAATCCTAACCCAAGACAAAGAACCTCTTATCATTATCCCGACTCATACTAAAAATGATTAATAAAATTCTCAAAACACTTCTGTAATATCGCATATATTTAAACGGAGATAGTTGAAAAAATTTACAACTCATAAGTATTTTATTGCCCCTATTGCCCTCCAAATAAATTCTTTACAAGTGTTGGTACAATTATCATCAATAAAGTATCAATGTTAGGGTACAATTGTAACAAGCTTAATTGTCGAAATACTAATGTGTGTTACATTTCAAAGGTAAAGTAGGTATATTAGGACAATAAAGCAATGATTGAGGGGCCATTTGAAGTCCCGCCGACGCATTTGGTGCATTTCAGGTTAGGACAGTCACAATATCTCTTTAAATTGGTAAAAAGAAATTAGTCAGTCCTCGTGATACACGTGGATGGATGAATTGTGGGAACATTGACAGAACCTAAGATAATTAGATGTCTTTTTTAAATTACATTTTCTAATATTTCTAACTGTAGTTTGAAAATATTGTCGATTTTCAATTATTTTACTCTTGTAATTGATGTGTTGGATAAGATAACATTTCAAGAAGCGCGATACGTCTTAATTGTAATGATACGTTGGGAAGATATTGCGACGGCTGGATGACTCGATAGCTGTGTATTATGTCAGATGTTACAACATACGAGCGTTCGGTGTTTGACAGCATCAGACACGTCCTATAGTTCGGAACAAACAGAGCAAAAACTCATCCTTTGTCTTTTCTCCATGGAAACCTAAACTCTATGACCAACTATGTAATTTCTTCAATCAGTCTTGAATATTCATATGTCAAAGTTGTCTCTAAAAATAGCTACCTTTCACGACCGCTTATATGGATACCAATCAAGGGAATAAAGGCAAAGGTTATGTTTAATAAAAAGTCGGTATCATTGAAAAGGTTCAAAGTCTTCGAGTCTGAATCGCTATAGGAAGGATTTTATTTCATTCGTCGTAATATCTTTAATTCGACCGTGTCTATATCAACAGACTAGACGAACAATTGGACGTGGTTTGTGGGAGATGAGAACAATATGGATGTTTTGATACCCCTTTACCTTCGCAGTTGAATCGGATGCCTTTTCTATACAATAGGACCCTGAATGACTTTTTCAAAGTGACGTGGTGATCTGTTAGGACCAACCTATTTTCCTGGCCACACCAATTGCGCTTTGAATACAATATTCGGAATGTCATATCAAAATGATTTGTGGCTTAATTTGACAAAGATATCGCCAATCTTAGCTACGGGATTTATTGTTTTCAATCATGATTCCAAGCTATGTATTTCAAATAAAGTGCAATAATAATGTGTTGACTTTCTTTTCATTTCATCCTTTCCATGATTCTCAAGTACCTAGCTCATTTATTGCCCGGGTTTATTTCCCGTCTCTTCCCAGAGTATATGTGTTCCTATATGTGTACATGTGTTCCTCGTACTGTGTTTTTCTGGTTTATTGCGTGAATGCACAGCCATCTGAACTCCCTCGTCCCCCACGTTTTTATCGGATTCAATCTCGGGGATTCAACGTACTTTAGGAGGAATTGGATTAATCACAGAAATTACAATAAATACTACCCCCCCCCCCCCCCCCAGTGTCAGAAATGGCAGAAAGGTTTATTGAGTAATAGTAGACTAGTAATGGACTTATTCACCTTGGATCTCTATTTTGCCAACTCATATTTGGAATAAGAAATAAAGACCGTTAATGTACGATTGGTGAGATTTCTGACCAGCGATGATCTATTGCCACAAATTGGTCTCACATCAAGAATCCAAGACGTAGAAAAATATCATCACATTTTAACTTTTGTTTATTATTTAGCAATGAAAATATCTCTACAAAATGGTATCAAGTAGCACTTCATGAATATTTCATGAGATATTTCATTCATGAATGGAACACAAAATACCCGATAGAACTACATATGATCTGTTGATGTAGGTTTGTTGTGAAGTATTTATATTGAGCATTGAGCCTCTTTTGTCCCTTTGGTTTATGAAGACTTTCACGCTCCAGATTAGAGAAAGGGCGAGGGATTATGGTATTGGTTAAGCCACCTGTGCCCGGCCGTGTCCCGGCAGGTGGAACGATTGCGTGAACGTAGATAGGCATAAAGCAAATTCCTCTGTTCCGTGGGATGACACTGATTTCTATTTATGAGGTTTTTGGCATGTCAAGTATTCATTTGAAACAATTGATGTTTATTTCATCCATCTGTGTGAATCGGATATAATAAAAGCAAAACAAATACGTATCTTAATTACCAACGGACTTGGCCACCTACAAATCGCCCCCCCCCCCCTCCACATCCACCTACTTAGATTGCTGGTGTTAGAGGAGGTCTTACTGACCACGATCTGGTAGAAACTCGATAGCCTTTTTATCACCGAAGTTTATCTAGCAAATTGTTTGTCAAACTGAGTGTGAAATGATCCTAAATGGCCTTGATTTGAGCACCCAATTAAAAGGGATTAACTAGAGATTAACGGATTAGTCTACTCTAGGAAAAGAGCCAGATTTTTAATATTTTGAATTATTTTTGATCAACCCATAAGCTGCCAGTGTTGTGGACTAGCACTAATTAGAACATTAAGATAAAAACTATTATAGCTCGGTATTTTCGAACCCAAGTGTTGCAAGTTGAAAGAGAAACACAAACATTTAGACACTTTGTTCTTTTACAGGTTTAGACCATGAAAAATTCACCAATTTTACGGGTCGTTTTTATTCTGAAGATCACAGAAAATTTGAACACTTCAATTTCAGGGTTTTTACAGGATATCCGTATGGTCACTTTGTAGATGGTTATCGCTTGATTGTTGTTGATTCTGGCTGAAACTGGAACAAGTAAATTGTTGTCATTACGGTGCCATCAAGTCTGACGTAATCTACCTTTTATAGAATATTGAAGGAAGTACATTTTGCATTCCGTAACAATTTGTTTACACGATGACACTGTCTAGCTAAATGTTTTTCTTTGATCATCATCATCGGAAAGAAATGTATATATCCGCTGAAGAAGTGGCATTTTGCTGACACCATGAGAAATCATGTCCTTCTATTAGTTCCTTCCCCCCCCCCAAAAAAAAACAGAAAGATGTGATGAGTACACATTTTGATCCATAAAGGTATTTCACGACTGAAGGAATACTCTGGTTTAACAGTGGGATGAGCATCAGTATCTTCGATTTGCAAGGTGGTTTGTGAATTGAGAATTGGCTGGAGTATCAGAAAGTTTTGTTCGCATTACCATTGACTCTGTAGATGTCCCATGATATAATAAATACTTGGGTCTAGTCCAGTTATTTTGTTCACGTAGATCAGTTTTTCATTCCTGGTAGCCTTATCAGCTGATTGAATCTTGGTCAAATAGAACATCCCTTACTGTCACATTGCACAAGATACTATCTAGTTTTGTCATTATGGCAATAATAGTGTCAACTCAACTGCTAATTGCTGATAAAATCTTCTCACAAGAACCAATCTCAAGTTCAATTTCATGCTAAATTTCTGACAGTATTTGGCTGACATTTAGAAATGCTTTAATTGTTATCAATTTGGGATTCCTCGATTTTTTGAATTGGAATTAGTATTTAATCTGCTAATTTGTTGATCGACCAGTTGCTGATCTTTTAACATCAAAACAGTTTCATACAAGGGAGGGTCAACGTACAACGAACATGTTATTTAGAAAGCAAGGGATTATCCAATTCTTATTGTTGAATTATTATCCCATTAAGCTTGCGGAGTGAATTAAATTGTTTGGATAAAAATGTTATCCCTTAAATAAATGTTTAGCCACTGTTCTAGCGTTGAAAATACCATGCTAGACTTTATGTCTGTACAGTGAGAAACTGTCAACATAAGGAAACGGGCATAAAATAATAAAAATATGACTCCGTGTCTTCCGCTTTGAGCCTCTGCGCTTTATGAAAGCTTTTTATTGACAAATTCAAGCGAGTAGAGACCCCTAAATTCATTAACTTGTTTGCGCATTGTCCGACAGTTCTCTCATGTTTCACAGTGGTTGTGAGATTTCGTGCTGTATATGCAATTTTCCATGTGATTTACCCAATAGTTTTACTTATTTTGAAATGATATCTGTTATTGAGACCCACCCTGTCTCAATGTATGTAGAGAATTCCAAGAATCTGCGAGGTCTACATCTAAGCTGACGACGAGGCCTTAAAATGCTGGCAATAATATCTGTTATGTGCCGAGAATGTCATGAAAAATGGTGTATGTTTATATATTATATGAGGATTATTTCTCAATTTATTTCACATTTTCTGATCGCTACATCAGTGTGATTAAATCTGCGATAGTCAAGATACTGACGGGTGACGGTACATAGGGAGGTACACCAGTATAATAGGACAGATATACTTACAGGATCCGTTGATACAAACAATACATTCATTTACCGAAACAATAAATTACCGCTTTTAGTGCGAGTGATCCATATTTGTGTACATACACTTTCATTAGCGTCAACCAATCAGAACACAGGGATGTAGTGATATCTGAAAATTTGCTCCGCGGATTCTGTCAATCTTCTGCGCTTAGCCAATCAGCGACGCTCGTCTTCATTGACCTGCGCATTTGTAAGGAGAACCGTCAGCTTGAAACTCATTGTAGATGTTAGCTATTCAATAGAGAGAGTGCGCATGCATATCATATACAAGTTTAGTAGAGTTAGCTGTTTTAAAAGTCAGGACATAACGCATATATTGGATTGTTAAGAAGGACAGTGTATACAAATGATGGCCACGACGACTGCGAATCCATACGTCGTGAATAACACGGGTGGCATACCAACTAGCCTAGTACAAGGCTTGGACATAGAACGGGACACAATGCAAAACACTGGTTATATACACAGAGACGATATGAAATATATGTCAGCACAACAGAATGGACATCACCTGTCTCATCAATGGGGTGTTTTACAACACACTGATACTAGTCACTGGGGCCAAACTATGGCCCAGGCTCACCACATGTACGGCCGCGCCGAGCAGGACATTAAACCACAAGCAGAAGCTCCCCTGCATCACCGGGGGCCCGGGGGACAACAAATACACCCGGCTCACGGTTGGGCTACACCTGTAACGTCAATGCAGACACATCTCGGTATGAACATGAATCTGAGTAATGGGGGACTAGGGGCACCCCCTCTTCAGCACCCTGGGTACGGCATGAATGGAATGATGTCCCCGAGCCAGGGGCTACATCATCTTAGAGACATACGTGAAAGCGATGGTTCCGAATACGCGGACCATCACGATCTAGCGTCTGACGAAGACGCACCAACATCGGACGATTTAGAAGCGTTTGCAAAACAGTTCAAACAGAGGAGAATAAAATTAGGATTCACACAAGCCGACGTTGGACTTGCTTTGGGCACACTCTATGGTAACGTATTTAGTCAAACTACCATTTGTAGATTCGAGGCATTACAACTCAGTTTTAAAAATATGTGCAAATTGAAACCCCTCTTGCAAAAATGGCTCGAGGAAGCAGACTCTACCACTGGCAATCCTACTAGTATTGACAAAATAGCAGCTCAGGGGCGTAAGAGGAAAAAGCGCACAAGTATCGAAGTGACAGTAAAAGGAGCGCTCGAGAATCATTTTCTAAAAGTGCCCAAGCCGGCCGCCCAAGAGATTCAACACCTAGCAGACTCGTTACAACTCGAGAAAGAAGTCGTGCGAGTTTGGTTCTGTAACAGACGACAGAAAGAAAAGAGAATGACTCCGCCAGTAATGGGCCCAAATGGTGAGATTTTGTTGCCAGATTCCATGCAAAATTCGCCGCAATCCCAGCATGAATCCCCGCTTCACGTGAATCATGGTTCCCCCGGGAGTATGCACCAACACGGGGGAGGGTCACCGTTGATGCAACATACGTCAATCCCATCCCCATATTCCGTGCCACCACAATCTTCAACGTCACCTACAATGACTTCTACAGGGTATCACTCATACACAACCCATACGAGCCATTCGTAGAATCCCCAAACCTCAGCATTATGCATGGACTTCTCTAATAGGAAGCCTTGTTCATGAAACTCGTGTCAAACCGAGCATTGATCCGCAACCAGGAACAACTTGGACATTCCAAGCGCGATGGACATGTCACGGGCTTGAAGCCTGAAGCGACACCTGTCGGAATATATCCCTGTTACGTCACCGGGACGTTGAAGCAGACGACAATAACAACAACGACTGCACAAGCTCTAGTGACATTCAGTGAATCACATGGAATCAGATGAGTATTGTATTTTGTTGATCCCTCAGCAAAAATGAACAGTGACATTACTTGAACGATCCAAATCTACTCATTTTGAACTTAGGGACGTTCTCCTAAAATCAAGTCAGCAATCAGAAAAGTATAATATATATAAATAGTGTATATATTGACATTAGTAATTATATTAATAATATATGCCTAGATCTCATGATAGGTGAATTGGGTATATAGTACACTGCAAATAAAAGCTTATTGGTATTCATGATACGTTGCCCTAAAAGATTTATTGACACAAAATTGCACTTCACTTGGTTCTGAACAGGGTACATCTCGTGTTAAAAACACAAAACCCTCTGAATCAACCTATATTCATATTTTGTAACCTTTTGCTCATTTTTGAAAATACACTTGAATTTAAAAAATCGAAAATTCACCTGTTAAATGAAAGCAACGCTGAATGAGCTCCTGTGTTAAGATTTTTACACCTTTGTTGGTTTATGTGGGTCAAAAGAATCGTAAAGAATTGTGGAATAAATATCAATGACTGTCTGTTTCAATATCAAATTTTGTTTTGATATCATTGATCTAAAGAGTTACCAATAGCTTGGATGATATTTTATGACAGACTCGAACAAATTGAAAAAGATTATACCCATTTTGAGCAATAATATCCTTCCCCCGAGGCAGCCCTTTTTATAAGCGCTAATACTGCAGACATCTTAGTTATTAGAGAAGTGTTAATTTGATAATGCCGTTTAATACCCATCACTTTACACAGATTTTAGAGAAACATGCAAATTAAACATTTATTTTCGGTCTGCAATAATACGCCATATTTATTTTCGAACTTAAATGAAAATTAATGATGTTTTCAAAATACAGCTAATTTGATAAAATCCTAAATTTGATTTTGACATAATTCAAAACCGATTAATTCACTCCTGAAACATTTAAGCTGTTCCGATATGATATACATTTTAATGTCAAATTTAATCCCATTTATGTCGTGTTTTATCTAAAAAATCATGGTTGTAAAATTTTAATAGTGGAACATGTTTTAAAAAACACATTTATTATAACGTCTAAAAAGCACAGGAAAGTGTGTAGGCCTTCAATGGAGGAATATTTGCTGAAAAATCCTATTCATATGTGATGCTTTCAAATCGCTATTCACACCACAGCAGCAGCTGGGTCTTCCTATATATCTACGTCTAGTTTCTTTATTTCGTTATCCTACAATATCAGCTCATGCATTCATCGTAGGTCAATATGCGCTCAACTATTTTCTAAAAAACAAAACCATCATTTTGTTTTTTAGGTTGTGTTATTCTTATGAAGTGAATTGTCAATAGAAAATCATATGAAAATGATGGTATTTTTAAATTGCCTCTGACGATATTTCAATTAAAATTAAAATCACCTTTCAAAAGTAACAAACTGGTGCCTTGGATTCTGTTCAATAACCTATTAAAAAATACTATTGACTGGTGTTGTAACGTTGTAGAATTTTATATGTTTGAACATCTTCACCAAAGCAAGCGAAACTGACCCGCAATATCGTATCTTTTACACCCATCCGCTGAAATACCAAAACATGTCTTTCTCATTTGTAATTTCTCCATTTTCCATCCCCGTTTTCTGTAATTTTCTTTGACTTTGTAAATCTATTGCAAATTGCTAAATTGATTTTTGAACTATAACTTCTCGCGATCTATTTGATAATAATTGTTTATTAAAAAGCTGGTATTTTTGTTTTTATAACCCACGTTGAACTTTTGTCATCTATTTCATATTGCAAGGGTCCCCTCTGGCTTAACATAATAATTATTTCAACATCATATTTTACTTTATTACACGTTCACTTGTACTTAATAATTAAATCTTAATGAATCCTGAACATTAAACTAAAATATCATTTAATTATAACTTCCAATAAAGCATGTGTAACTTACAGCAGCTTTTTAATGCCTTCAAACATACTCTTAAAACTAAAATATCGGCATCTTGACTTCATTTCATAAAGTTGAATGACCCTCGTATTTTATATATGTATTTTATGTTTTCTATTTTCCTCTGGTTTTGCTCTAGTTTAAATATTCTTTCCTCCTTGATTTAAGTAACTATGGGAAATAACCCTGCGTTAGATTAGTACCCAAACCCCTCGTTGTACCGTCATTTTGAGATACTTTAATAAAGGGTACGCGGGGATGACAACTATAAAGTGGGAAAGGTAGCATTTGTATATTCTTGGAGTAACTATAGACAATTCTAAAGTAAATTATACTAACAGGAGGTTCGAGCCAAGCTTTCCTAATTAAATTTGCCCCAATAAAAGGGGCATATTTGCTGCTATCTAAAGCAACTCAATATTGGAAATTGGCCTTAATTTGTATCTGGAAAACCTTATAGTTGCTCATACAGAACATTATAATTGACGTTAATTGCGAGATAGACAATTTCTAACAAGTTTTGGATGTTTTGTCGTTGTAAGTCTCTTCTTAGTTTACTGTCAATGTCTACGAGCATCACACATTGCATCAGAGGGGTATACCCTTACGCAATCAGTTTCGAATTCAATCGCTTTGTTATTTCCCTAGCTCTGTTTGTTTTCTTTGCCTTTTAGACTTTCGGAGCTAGCAACTTCATATTTGTGAATGTTTTTTTTATCTTATAGAAAGTAAGACTATTTTTATACAAGTGTATTTTCAAAAATGGGCAAGCAAGGTTTCTCAAAAACCGAGTTTTCCCGATCTGCGGAAATCATGGTCTTCTAACAAGCAAAATGTGTTCAGTTCCATCACTCTAGACATCAATGATTTTGTCACATACCGTTAGTCATGTCCATATTCTATTTGGGGATATAGCAAGGGTGTCATGATGCTTAGAGATTGCCCCTTAAGCTCTTTGAGGATAAATCTCAAAAACAAATACATGCATGGGATAGATAGAAACTTCTGGCATAGAAAAATCATTCGTCTTGCTAAATGTCATTTCAATTTCAGTTTACAGTTAAGATTGATGTAGAATCAGTATGGATATTCTGGTCCTTCTGAGAAGTTATTAGAAACTTGGGATATAATATCAACTGGAACATATCACTGCTTTTAAGGTACCACTCTTCGAAATTGGGCATATTCCGTTCTCCGCAGAGAAATTTTGAAAATTAGAGAATTTTTGACAATTTCTTGGTGCTAAAATGCTCTCGTCATCATGTTCCAAATTTCATAATTCATATTCCAAGTTCATAATTCATATTCCAAGTTCATAATTCATAACTCCTGATTTGCATAATTTATTGCAAGATTATATCGATAAGTACATAAATTATATATTCTAAACAAATTTGTAATTTCAGGTGTACTATCTATTTTTAAGTTTCTCCCACTTTATGATGTTAAATGTATTCAATTTGCATATTATGTTTATATTTACGTATATTTCATATCATTGTAATCTTTGTAATATGTTTTACATTCCATAAAACGTTCCATTTATAGCTCTACATTCCAAAGAAAAGATATAATGGCTATGAATTTATCATTCCATAATTCTCAAATTAATTTTAGCTATTCTATATCAATTTAAGTATTTATCGTATCATATATTTTAGTTGAAAACAAAATAATTCATTATCGGTGTAAACTTTTGATAATCAATCATAAACTTGTATTTATTATGAATACATTTTGTAGTAAAATGTTTCTGAATTTGTATCTAATCTAGTATGGACAATCTGTCACAGAGCTAAGATTCAGCGATGAGTATTATATTATGAGGTCACTATCTCCCATGGGAAAGTCGTTCAGACTCATAAGATACACGAGTATGAACCATTGGTTTTTGCGACTATAATTGAAACACATGGCTTTACAAATTGTCGGAGCTAATGCACCCATTTCCATGGTCAATTTTGGCATTCATCAATAGTACTATCATACAGAGAGATTTTTCTCAGACTGAATGTTGTTGTAATATTACTGTCAAATATAGCACGTTGGGTTTTGTTTAGTTCTAGACCATTAGTTAGGGTCTGAGAATGACTGGTGTCTAACGAGAGTGACATTTATTGAACTATTGTATATAAGAGCTACCATCTCATTTGTACATACAGTCATTATTGAGGCATTGCATGTACTGTCAGATTTATTTTGTGTGAACACCAATCAGGGACGTTCGTATTTTTTGTGTGAACACCGTTGAATACGTTCGTTTTTCTAGTGTTCATGGCAGGGGGAAATACACTCCACCCGTTTATTCCTGCACTCGGGGGATAAAATATTGATGCAAGAGCTGAATGTCCAGATGTGTACCAAAAATGAATTCACACTAGAAGAAAGAGATAGATGTTAACTTAAGAGATGATCGCTTTAGAGAGGTGTTCACCCAAAATAGATTTTATTGTATTTTGGGATGTTTATCAGCATAAAAGTTCAGAACAGTGTACTATTATTACCAAAATCCATATTTTGGCTACAAGATTAGAATTCTGTCATATAATATCAGTGTAATCAAAGGGATCATGAATGCCAAAGTGGTAGCAGAGACTAATGTGTATAAACCACTTGCTGTAAATATACTATTTAAATTATTGTGTAAATTTTAAGTGTTTCGGGTGTCGAAATTGTGGTTCGTTTGTTATCAAGATTTGTAAACATTATTAAAGTTCAAAAAATTGTAGAGTTGGTACCATCATATATTTATAAACGATCTACTGGCACTAATTTCCCAGATTATTTTCTTCAATATTGTTTTATCATTTCAAGTTCAAAAGTTTTTATTGTATGTAATGGTACCAACCACTACACAAACCGATGGGTGCTTCCACGTGAACATAGTCATGAACCATATTATGTAATATATTTTCTATAAATCTATGATTATTATATTAGTTTAAAATTATTCATGTAGTTTTCTTTTTCAAACCTGATTTCTATGTGATTACTATTCTAGCTATACGATAATTCCGGCCGATACGCCATGTTTAAAGATGTACAGAATCAGTAAATGTCCATTACGCAATATTGTCGATAAGTTATGAAAATAAAGTACAAATGTGTTTTGTAAATTTAGCCAAGATATTTTTAGTTAATTTTTGAATATGATTATACATTAAAAATTACACACAGTATATGGCAATTAAGTCCCAAGAATGAAAACCATGTCATATCAATGTCTTAAGATAGAAATAAAATAATGCGAGAAATGAACTCGAAACTAAAGATGAAATTCTCCAAAGAGCAAAATGTGTAGGGTGTCGTCGTAAACAATTTTACTGGGTTTTTATTTCATTTCCAACTGAGTTGGTACACCTTTATACCACCCCATGATATCAATTGCTTTTGTTGAGTTGCCACAGCCTGCACACGTATTGAGAATTGTTGAGTTTTTCTGAAATGATCGTTCCATGTGATACTGTCTGTAGACGTCACATCTGTGTATTATACCATCTTAATCCAGCAGGGTAGTTAAATGACTGAATGAATACAATGCTGTAGGATGGTATAGTACTATGTCATATGGGTAGTTTTCTGAAGAATATTTCTCAACATAATCTGGTATAGACTAGCTACAGGCCCTTGTGACCACCCCCCCCCCCCTCACTACAAGGAATAAGGGGAACTTATGTGAGTCAACGATCCGTCGGCTTTACGTTCGAATGATGAAAAAACTATTATTGGAGAAATGTATTTATGAACAGAACTTCATGGGGTTGTGCCAAAATATCCAAATCCCCTTGCCATTGTGTTTGGATTTATTACAAATATAAGTCACAATAACTAATGAAGTCGATATGTTACCGAAATAGGTGTATTGATATATTTACCCATTATTCCCTTTGGTTTTTAGAAAAATGTGATATTTTCAATTATCTTTTCAAGTCCTATGTGTTTTGCCTGGGACTCTTTGACATATTTGACCCAATTCCACAGTCACAGTACGAGCTATTTCAAAACCTGGAAACGAA